AACGGCTGTCTGGTGTAGTGGTAAGTGACATGGTCACTACACAAGGGGGTCGCGGGTTCGAATCCCGCCAAGGGAAGATATTTGTATGAGAAATATAAATGTCTTTCCAGGGTTATGGGTGTATATTAAATATATGTATGTGTATAATAAAAATATTATATTTATTTCCGTTATCTGGTACTTGTAACACAAGTTCTTTACGAACTTAGCACGGGACTAGTTAACGTGGCGTGATTGTTAGTAAATATTTATATTTATCTTATCTATCTAATAGAATGTATGTAAATCCACTGAATCCAACCGGCATCCGATCCCTATGGTATAGTAGTTAGTGTTAATAATAGTCATTACAACAAAGAGGCAATGAAGTAACCTATAAGTTCAAGTGCCTGCGTACATACAGGTGTCCTGTATGTACCCTTGCTGTGAAGTGTAGTGTAAGTCCTTCACGCCGAAGACGAAGTGTTCGACTTGCAAATTAACCCATAGACACGACCTACTGAGTTTCTCGGCGGTTATTCTCAGTTGGTCACGATTTTAATCCGGTGGTAGATTCAGCAAAGAACTGCTTTTGCTTAGGGCTAGTGCTAGCAACTCCTCTCAGGTTGAGCCCTGTGAGCTCACCTACCATACAGGGCGTACTTGGAATAGCCCTTTAGGCTACCAACGATTGGGTTATGAAAAAAAAGTACAAGTCCTACAAGTCCTACTCAGGACTTCATCCATAAGAGTGCTCCAAAGGATTCATTTAAGTGAATATCCTTAGACCCATCGCACCAGAGGAGCCAGCGTTCGCCTGTACATTTTTCCATATACCTACTGTGTGATAATGTAGATCGGCCACTAATAATTATGTAGGTATGTAACCTCAAATGCCGTATACTTGTTTAGATTTTAAACGAAACTTCTAATAGTTCTCCCACCATGGTTCGTCTTTTAGCCATCTATACTAATATTATAAAGAGGAAAGATTTGTTTTTGTTTGTTTGTTTGTTTCGAATAGGCTCCGAAACTACTGGACCGATTTGAAAAATTCTTTTTCCATTAGAAGCCGACATTGTCCCTGATGAACATAGGCTACTTTTTTTTATATTTTTTTTTTTTTTTTTGGTTTCATGTGTGTTTTAATGTTTCCGAAGCGAAGCGAGGGCGGGTCGCTAGTGTCTGATAAAGACAGATCCACAGATTAAAAATAGTATAACATAAAAAGTGTTATTAGGTCGTAAAACTTGTGGACACAAACACAAATATTGTGGAAGCGAAATCTACCTTGAAAAGTCAAAAGAGAGTTACCAGAAGCTCTACTAACGAATATTCAGGTAGGTTGACTACAGTTAGTCGATTATTTGCTTTGTGTAGATTAAACAAACAATAAACGCGTAGTGCAACAACGAAATTCGACTAAACAGTTCGCCAAGACAATATGCAATAAATAAATACTCAGAAAACATTTAAATATTATCATTTTCTCAGTGCATTACTGCCGCGTGAAGACTTCAAGGTAAAGAATTTGACAGTGAAGACACCTTCGTACCAACGACCGACGTAATTCATTACTGCCGCGCCATTTGAGTAGCTTAGGTACGGTGCAAAAAAAAACCGGTCCGTAATATTCTCCGTTAACTTTTCATTGAGATCTCGAGTGGCTTCCAGCCGCTGGGCCCTAATTCTTTTTATGTTCAACAGTTCATTCTGAAGTTTTCGATTGTGGAACAAAAAACGGAAATAAACTATTGATCGCGAACAAATGGCGCCCACTTCTCTCCATTGTGCCGCCATCTTTGATTCCAACTTATATTTTATAATTAATTTTTAAAAATTCATTATTAAACGTCATGAATAAGGTTAAAAAATAACGGTAAAGTTTCTGTTTTTAGAGCCCATTGCCTGATGGCGGTTATTAGAAGTCTCATAATTTCGTAATTTCCATTTTAACTGTCACCCATTATGAGACATGTCATAATTTTCCATTTATTTAAGTCGTCGTGGCCTAAAGGATAAGATGTCCGGTGCATTCGTATCGAGCGATACACCGGTGTTCGAATCCCGCAGGCGGGTACCAATTTGTCTAATGAAATACATACTTAACAAATGTTCACGATTGATTTCCACGGTGAAGGAATAACATCGTGTAATAAAAATCAAACCCGCAAAAATATAATTTGAGTAATTACTGGTGGTAGGACCTCTTGTGAGTCCGCACTGGTAGGTACCACCGCCCCGCCTATTTCTGCCGTGAAGCAGTAATGCGTTTCGGTTTGAAGGGTGGGGCAGCCGTTGTGACTATACTGAGACCTTAGAACTATATCTCAAGGTGTGTGGCGCATTTACGTTGTAGATGTCTATGGGCTCCAGTAACCACTGAACACCAGGTGGGCTGTGAGCTCGTCCACACATCTAAGCTATAAAAAAAAAAAAAACTTCAAATAAGAACGCATGAAAGCTTAGTGGCGGAAATATGCAGGTTATTGGCACCTATCCGTACGAACTTGGTTCAATGCGCTCCGTCGATTGAAGTCGTCGTTACCTAAAGGATAAGACGTGTCCGGTGCAGTCATATCAAGCGATGCACCAATTTTTCTAATAAAATACGTACTTAACAAATGTCCACGATTAACTTCCACGGTGAAGGAATAACATCGTGTAATAAAAATCAAACTATTATAATAAATTAAATTTACCTAATTTAATTAAATTTATAAATAATAATATATTAAAAATCAAAATTATAATCTGCGTATTTACTACTGGTAGGACGTTTTGTGAGTGCGCACGGGTAGGTACCACCGCCCTGCCTATTTCTGCAGTGAAGCAGTAAAGCGTTTCGGTTTGAAGGGCAGCCGTTGTACTGTAAAAACTGAGACCTTAGAACTCATAGCTCAAAGTAAGTGGCAGAATTTACGTTGTAAATGTCTATGGACTCCGGTAACCACTTAGCACCAGCTGGGCCGTGAGCTCTTCCACCAATCTAAGCAATAAATAAATAAAAAACCATCAACCAAAACCGATTGGCAAACGCTGTGCGGTGGTACGCCCCAAAGACGCCACTACTCATTCTTCACTTAATTGCGTAGTTATCTTTTATAACACACGAAGATGGAGGAAGGAAGATGGTGTCTGTTCTAAGCCAGTCAACGATCAGTGGTCTGGACGATGGCTGTGTCAGTAGCACCAACAGTCACATGGACACGTGTGTCTGCCGCGAAGATTTTCCGGTCTGAACGGTGAACCAACTTTATTTAAAATACTATTCAAGACTTACAATATCATACCATGGTGTCACTATCGCTCATGGACCTTGGCAATACTAGGGGCAAAGCCAAGCGGCTGTCTGCCATTAAAGACACCTAATTTGGAGAAAAGAGTTCGACTTGGGAAATTTATCTTCAATATGCTATTTCAAAACACATAAGGCCATGAGTATATCTTTATATATATACTAGCTGTACCCGTCCGCTTCGCTGGGCATTTAAAATTAACATTATTATTTTTCACCCCCACAAAGATTCTCATCATTAACGCCCCCGCAACTGGTGTAGGGAGTCCAACACTCATATAAATATTAGCCTATCCATTAAGTACATGTATTTTCTACATGGATACCGAATTTCAAGTCAATCGGATGCACGGTTCAGTAGTTATAACAGAACATCCGTAAAAACCACTGTAGATATTAGTATAGATAAATAATTCTACAGTATGTGTGTATGTGACTGAACTCCTCCTTAACGGCGGGACCGATTTAAATGATTTTTTTTGCTTTTGGGTGGCGCCCTAGATGGTTTAGATTCACAAATCAGCCCGGCAGATGGCGCTGCAGTCGATATGTATACTGCAACTAAACGGCTGAATCGACTTGAATGATTTTTTGTGTATGCATTCATTCATTCATTTCATTCATTTTGTGTATGCAGGAAAATCTGTCGGGTCCGCTAGTATAGGAGATTATCTCTAATAAAAACACAGTTCAGGGTTTATTATTGTTTTATTATTATTGTTTCGGACATGTCTTACTAATCAAAAAACATTTATAGTCATTTTGCTATCAATACATAGCACTTTATATTGCAGTTTGCCGTTCGATATTAACACAATCAAAAATAGCCAAGTAAGTCAATAATACATTTAACGGACTCAATTATCTAAGGGAACGTACCCATACTACGTGACCCGTTTAGGGGGGGGGAGCGGAGTCTTTAAAATACTATGGTCAGTCACAGGAGCGGGGGGTGGCTCAGGTTTTTGTCACGTAGTCGATTTTTTTTTATGGCTTAGATGGGCGGACGAGCTCACAGCCCACCTTGTGTTAAGTGGTTACTGGAGCCCATAGACATCTACAACGTAAATGCGCCACCCATCTTGAGAAAAAAGTGTGAGAGAAATCTCGTATTTTTTCGACGTATATTCGAATATAGCGCGCAGTGTTTAGCGCTTTGTAAACTCACACTACATAATCCACTAGTAATTTAAGTGTGCATGCAGTCTTATGCANGACGAGCTCACAGCCCACCTTGTGTTAAGTGGTTACTGGAGCCCATAGACATCTACAACGTAAATGCGCCACCCATCTTGAGAAAAAAGTGTGAGAGAAATCTCGTATTTTTTCGACGTATATTCGAATATAGCGCGCAGTGTTTAGCGCTTTGTAAACTCACACTACATAATCCACTAGTAATTTAAGTGTGCATGCAGTCTTATGCAATAAAGACGAGTATGAACCAAATTATTATTATTTTTCAATTTTTGCCTGTGAAATTATTAAAAATCATAATTATGAATTACTACGTGAAAACTATAGGGGAAGAGGGGGGTCTTGGCATGTACTACGAATGATCACCAAGGGGAGGGAGAGGTCAAAAAAACTAAAAAAATAGGTCACGTAGTATGGGTACGTTCCCTAATATGTAATAAATAAATATATATTTATTAAATACATAAATATATCTTTGTTTATTAATAATTGATAGTTGAGCAATATATAATTATTAATTAAAATTATTCCAAAAATTTATTAGCAATCAAAAATTTTTTATCTTCATTCTTTTTTTTTAACTAAGATCAGCGATCAGTGCCAGTTGATAATCAACACACAGACAAAATATATCACGTTTATATTATTGCGATTTCCAACTCAAAGACTTAAGTTAGGTGTGATGACGAAAATATATATTTTGGAAAAACGATCAGTCTGTGTTTTCAATAATGAACAACTCACATCCTGTGAACTAGCTCTGATCGGGTTGGTAAGCTAAGATAGGTCTGAGTTATTGCTAATAAGGTATCATGAGTAACCACGGCCCAGCTCCCAAGTGTTGCTTCCTGGCTCATACCCACACCACTTTCTAGAAAACCAGAAGTCCACTATACTTGGGACACAAGTTCATTCCGGACGTGTAAAACCTTCCGCAAGCTTCCAGAATCAAAAGTCATCGTAGACAGAAACACTATTTCGGTCGATCGAATCTCAGACACCAGGAAACAACTCATTGTCACAATTCAATTCGTTTGTCACATTCTAACAGCAATGCATAATAAACAAAAAAATATGTAAATATTAAATTTTTATAACATAATTATTATTGGTCTTTATAATACTAAAAACCGTGAAACACAGTCCGTGAATCGTTTTTAAATCAATAAAAATGGAATTGACTTGTTTCATAGCACATTCGACTCGTTCTAGATAAAAAAATTACATACAGTGCCTTTAGCTTTTGTTTCTACTGTATTTAACTTCAGCCCTCAATCCGACTATTTATATTTTACAATGAGCAGATTGCCCATCTGTATCACTCTATATTAGAGACGGCGCGTTGAACCTGAATAGTTTTTGCTTACTTTAACGTGTGACCACTCCGGTTGTTAACAATATCAATGTAATGTTAACGCCTAGTTGATGAGCACTCGTGAGCACGTCATATTGCGTCCAAGAGTCTCTCAAAAAAATTGAAGAGTTTGGCAGGCGCCCACTACCGATCCTTTGGATACGCGGCGGGCTTTGATTGCGTTTGGTCACGAGTGCAAATTGCGCAGTTTTACCGCCAACTCCCTCCTGCCCCTCCACCGCCTCTCTGCTGCCATCTTCCCTGCCCCTGCTTATTCTGCTGATGGCTGCTATAATTATTACCTCCTCTGTAGCTGTTGTAGCCTTGGCCCTGATTGTTATAATCTGTACTGTAGCCAGGGTTGTTGCTATATTGGTTACCGTAGTCCTGGTTGGAGCTGTTGTAGCCCTGATTTTGACCTCTGTTTTGATGGTAGCCTTGCTTCGGATGGTTCTGGTTTCCGTAAGACTGGTTCTGATTCCCGTAGGAGTGGTTCTGGCTTCCGTACGGTTGACTTGAATTACCGGACCGATTGTAGTTCTGGTATGAATGGTTAGGATTGTGTGGTACATAGCCGCCTCGTGCCGGTCCGAATGTCTGCGAGCGTTCTGTATCAAAGATAAAGCAATGTTATTTATCAAGACTATTTATAAAGAGGTTTTTAATCATGGACATAGCTTAAAGCACAAAGCTACGTACGAAAGAGTGGTACGCAAACTTGCCGTGGCAACTTTCAACTGATCTTTAATCTCTATCAGAATCATCAAACTCTATAGCAATAAGTAGGCTACAATGATGGAAGTCGAAAGGCAAATTTAGACTGTTCCATAAGTTTTTAGAATAAAGAATTGAACAAGCATATCTTTTTAGATTTAGAGATCCGCAGCTTTTGATTAAGACAGACAGTTATATATCTGAAATATTAGAAATGGTGAAGATCTTCTTCATCATAACAAACAATAGGTGAGACCTGTTTCTGTCCGTAAATGTTGTAAATTTTGTATTAATTTTATATTTCGTAGCTTTCATGCGTGACTTAGATAATTAATTGAGGACATTTTCGATAATTATAAAATAATCGTTTTTAAGAATGTTATATCAACTTTCAATGTCAAGTTTCAATCATACTTAAAATTCAATCAAACTTAAAGTTGCTGCAGCATGAAAAAAAAATGACCTAGTCAATTGTATACAATAAAATGTTAAATCCTAAGCGGCAATGGCGCAGGATTCTTTTGACACGGCTTTAGTCGCGCTGGTAACACTCGAGCCGGGAGCCGAAAGGGAACAAGTTCTTAATCGTTCGCTTTGTAACGATCAAATGTAACACAGACGTAAATATTTCAAAAGTAACTCTTTAATAATTTAAAAAAAATCCTATAATCAGATAGAAAATATTGATATCATAATATTAATACGACAAAAAAATAACATTGATTTTTTTCTCTTTTATATTCACTCAATTGGTGCAGCAGAATGGTCTTGGGAAGGGAAGGACGGCGGGGCATCCGGAGACTGGCCAAATCTGCTCCCTCTAAAGCTACATAACAATCATGACAACTCTGTCAAGAAACGATTAAGTAAAAGAATAATTCAGTTAATTAAATGGATAAATGCAAAATTTGCCCTCCGTATATAATACTAACACCGTATAGGGTACTATAGCTATAGGATAATATAGCTTACAGACTCCTGTGCGTCAGGGATCATGTTAATGCCAACAGAACTAATATAATAGACTTAAAAGAGCCACACAAGAATTCTTTGCGACAATAGGCAAGAAAGATTGAACCGTGTGGAAACGCTAATTATGTAAATAATATTTTCCGTTTTTTTTTTATTGCTTAGATGGGTGGACGAGCTCACAACCCACCTGATGTTAAGTGGTTACTGGAGCCCATAGACATCCACAACGTAAAGCGCCACCCACCTTGAGATACAAGTTCTAAGGTCTCAAGTATAGTTACAACGGCTGCCCCACCCTTCAAACCGAAACGCATTACTGCTTCACAGCAGAAATAGGCAGGGTGGTGGTACCCACCCGCGCGGACTCAAAAGAGGTCCTACCACCAGTTTCTTTTCTTGAAGTCGTTGTTAAAAACATTTAATTTACTCACAAATAATATTACAAACCTGCCAGATTTGAATTTCATTCGATAAGTCACAAAGAATAATTCGGTATAAAATTAATGGGCGCATCCAGCAATCCTTAAGTCCTTGTATTTTATAATCCTACTATGTACAATTGTCATCAAAATCTTTGTAAGTAGTATTACGGTGCTTTACGATTTTCACGATCAAGTTAAATCGTAAAATTACATATAAAGTTCAGTTTTGTTTCAAAGGCTTTGCGGCATCATGCTCGGGTTTCGTTCGAAACGTTGTGGCTTCGTAGTAGACTTACCACTTGTTTAGCGGAAAACAATGCGAATTGACAACACAGAAAATAGCTTTGATTCTCTTTTGTTTTTGAAGGTGATAAAAGTTTAATATTCAACGACCTCAAAGCTGCGAGTTTGTCGCGTGTACACAAGCAGAGCAAGACCTCAAACAACAAATATTTAACTCGTCGTTACTAGCTCGGCCTGTATCTATGTAACCAAATATTTCAACGCAATGTTACTTAATTAAGTTAGTTAATGTAAGTTAAAAAAGCAGTAGGCAGCGGCTTGGTTCTGCCCTTGGAATTGCTGAAGACCATGGGCGACGGTAACCACTCACCATCAGGTGGGTTGATGCTCGTCTGCCTACAAAGGCAATAAAAAAAAATGACTGCCACTGTGAAGGTGTCATCTTAGTGCTCTTCAATTATAAGCTCTAGTTCGTTTATCGGTTTAGTAATGCGAAACTGGGTTATAAGTTTCCACCAAATCCTATTTTTGTCGCCTTTTTTTTTATTGCTTATATGGGTGGACGAGCTCACAGCCGACCTGGTGTTAAGTGGTTACTGGAGCCCATAGACATCTACAACGCAAATGCGCCACCCACCCTGAGATATAAGTTCTAAGGTCTCAGTATAGCTTTAAGGCAGAAATAGACAGGGCGGTGGTACCTACCCGCGCGGACTCACAACAGGTCCTACCACCAGTAAAACCAGTCTTACTGCCGTAACATCGCAGAATACCCTAGCTAGGGCAATCGTTGGACGCGATTACCTTTATATTCCAATGCTGCTTACGAACGATGAGGCCGCAATGTAACTGAAAGTGGCCGGAGGGAGAACGATTACGCGGTAATTACTCTCGTCGAGTACAAAACGATTCGCGCCCATTAGCCGACATTGTTCGCGCACACCAGCAGCGCCAAGTACTATCATTAAATGCAGTTTATTTATGAGTTATATGTGGCTTCGTGGCATCGCGCATCTGACTACGTTTTTTTTAGATGGGTAGTCGAGCTCACATCTCGCCTGGTGTTAAGTGGCTACTGGAGCCCATGGACATCTACAACACTACATCTTGAGATATAAGTTCTAAGGTCTCAGGTATAGTTACAACGGCTGCCCTACCCTTCAAACCGAAACGCATTACTGCTTAACGACAGAAATAGGCAGGGCGGTGGTACGTGTCGCAAATACACTGTGCACGTTATGTGAGTTATGTGAATTATGAAAATAGTTTCTTACAATGTTTTGATTTCTTCGAATATTAGCGAAATAAAGGTAAATAAATTTTATAAAATTGAAGAAAGCGTAGATATTACGCAATATTTCAAGTTGCATATTATATATGCTTTATATTTAGAAATGCTATTGCTATTTCGTTCATTAATAGAACACAGGAATGTCAGGAACACAGCTGTCAAATAACAATAAGCATGGTTTTAATGCAACAATATCATGCACGCCTCACATTATTTTCATTGCCGCGGGACGACTGAAAAACTCACGAGAGCTCACAGTAGGCGACTTGTTAATGACGTTTTTACCTTCTTAATAAGATACCAGGTTACTTTACGAAAAAAAAAGAACTAACCGATTTCAAGTAAATTAACAAAAATTTTTTCTTATAATCCGAAATCATCTACATCAATGTTTTTCCGACAGAAAAAGAAACAAAAACCGCCGAGAACACCTCCAGAACATTTGAACTGAAAGACCGAAAATTATAACCCGAGCTAGGCTGCCTTAACAGGCGTTCAATGGTGGAGGCGGGAGCGACATTCACCGTCATGAAAGACTGTCAAATAAGAGCAATAGGTGGCCCCACGTTGGGCGCCAAAATTGTACGACGCGACACTCAACGCTCAGGTTAGTATGCACGCCGCTTATTGTCCAAAGAGATGACGTCTAAAGGATTTATGAATAGCGGCTTGCAACTAACCTATATATTTTTATTTACTTCGTTCTTCAGCGCTCTTCAATCCATAAGGATACTCGTTGACATTAAAGACATTAAGTCAGATAGACCTTTTCAGAGATTGAGATCTCTGCAAGTGAGTTTTTTTTTATTGCTTAGATGTGTGGACGAGCTCACAGCCCACCTGGTGTTAAGTGGTTACTGGAGCCCATAGACAACTACAACGTAAATGCGCCATACACCTTGAGATATAGTTCTAAGGTCTCAGTATAGTCACAACGGCTTCCCCACCCTTCAAACCGAAACGCATTACTGCTTCACGGCAGAAATAGGCGGGGCGGTGGTACCTACCCGTGCGGACTCACAAGAGGTCCTACCACCAGTATAAGTATTTTAGGTTCCAGTATAAATATTTAAGAGTATTTTAAGTTCCTCTTTTTCTAATCTTCTATCTATATATACAAAAATGAATTGCTGTTCGTTAGGCTCGCTAAAACTCGAGAACGGCTGGACCGATTTGGCTAATTTTGGTCTTGAATTATTTGTGGAAGTCCAGAGAAGGTTTAAAAGGTAGATAAATATGAAAATGCGGAATTAAATAAAAATAACAATTTTGTTTTACCTTTTGTGTCCCCCGTCGGACGGATTCCTTTTGTTTATTTTAAGTTTATTTTATACAAAAGTTTAGGTCTTTTATTTATCGATTGAGGCAATACGAAGTCTGCCGGGTCAGCTAATGTGTAATAAGAGCGGCGACAGTTTAGGGGCCAACATTTCCTTTATTAAAAATATTAGGTTTAAGGACCCCAAGAAAACCTAAAACTATGATCGTATTGGTATGAGCTATAAAAATTCAAATCCGTCCCTTATGATTTCGATTCCTAAGGCTAGAGCACTTTATTTTTATTATTAACGTAAGTTTTGGCGACTAATCAATCAAATAATTTGGGCCTAACTTAATAAAACACTATAATTTGTTCTGTATCACTACATAGTATAAAACAAAGTCGCTTTCTCTGTCCCTATATTCCTATGTATGCTTAAATCTTTAAAACTACGCAACGGATTTTGATGCGGTTGTTTTTAATAGATAGAGTGATTGAAGAGGAAGGTTTATATGTACAATAACATCCATTAAACAGTGGAGAAATCAATAATAAATTACAGTTTCCGAAGCGAAGCGGGGGCGGGTCGCCAGTATATAAGATGTATGTAACGGAATTTACGTTGTTTTCACCCAATCATAAAACGTCGAATTATCTTAAAAATTAGAACTTTGGGCAATCTCACCAGCTCGCCTAGTGATTAAC